CATCTCAGTAGAGATACGTACGCGCCACCACGGGCTGGTAAGGAGGTAAGCCTCCTTAGGTGCTCGTGCAGAGTTGTTCACACAACATGGGCACGAGTCTCCCCAAGAGAGGCAGGGTAATCCTTTCTCCCTTGACAGACGATGCAGCTTGTAGCATGCACCTTTCGGGGTTCGCTTTTCAAACTTATCACGAGCTTTGATAAGTTTGTCGTTCCAAGCGTCACGACCTACATCCTCAAGGTTATGGATGTAGGCGTTCCACGCTTGAAGCAGTGAGGGACCATCATGTTTGTGATTCCCACTGTACCATCGATGTTTAAAGAAAGCATCGATGAAGAATTCATGTTCAGCGCGATAGTTTTTCGCGCTGGGGTCAAGGTGATGGATCCTTGACGAATCGAACAATCGTGTTCGATAACGATCACTCGTCGTCGCCGACAAGTGATCCATGACAGATTTCGGAGGCATCCATGCCTTCTTCTCAGGAGCGAGACGCAAGACATTGCGATCCCGCTCTTCCTGCGATGTGCCGACAGAAGTACTGGCACCTCGTTGCGAAGTGGTGTCCATAGGAGAACCGACACCACTGTGAGCGCCCGAGTCTCGCGACCTCGAGCGCCTACGCTTCGGCGATGGTTCATCTGATTCATCAGATGAACCAAAGATGCTACGACGCAAAGCATCGTCTATGCCACGCTTGGCAGGCGGCTTGGATTCAATCGCCGTCGATACGGATCCGTCTTCCGTATCAGGGGAGTACGAGACACCGAGCTCGTACTCTGTGAAGACATGAGTGTCTTCATGACCAGCGCCTGCATCACCAAGTGACACAGGCTGGGTCGCTTCAGCAACCGATGAGACATCAGTTGCTGTGGTTTCTGCTTCGGCGTCCGCACAGAGACGTGCGGACGCGCTCTCGGAGGCCTTGCTCGCGCACTGCATGGGCTTGTTAACCATGCGATGAAACTTATGGACTGTGGACTCGGATTAACAAGTGCAAACCCTGTCCCAAATGATTTGGGACGAGTATCCATTTAGTCAATCAGTCACTAAAGTGACTGATGGTTAAGGGGGGTGATGTAACGGGGTGAATCGTTACATAACAATTTACAAGAAATTGTTAATAGAATATAACTATAAGAGTTATATTCTCAGAATATTGTCACAAGGAAAAATATTCTGTAGCACTTACGAGTAGTTCCTAATTGGTTGATATAGGCCATTATATCAACCAACGAAGACGCGCCACGACAGACGCACGCAATGAGTGGTGAGCAGATAATCAATTTACACATTTGTATTTAGACATAGTTAGATGAAGATAAATAGTGATTAATTGCAGACATTAACTATACTAAATACAGTTCTACTTTTTACTTTAACCAAGTACTCGCTTCTTCTTACCGTCTTCCTCTGCACGTACGAGTGTACGTGAAGTTACGAGGCACCGCCTTATTCTGTCATCAGAATAAGTAGCTTGTACTGTCACCAGTACAAGCTTCAGGGTGCCCTGTTACACCATGGATGCAGCATTGCCTGGACTTCAGGCTGTAATTGGTAGCTATGAGCCACAAGATGTTTTCAAGGACAAAGCTAATGTGTGAGAACGAAGATGTATTGATATAGATTGATTGAAAACCACGCTGAAAATGATCTAGGCCTGTTCACATTATGACTTTGAGTAGACAGTTAAGCAGAAAGAGATTGAGGGTCTCAAGAAATAGGAGGTCAGAACCATTTAATCCCTATAAAAGGTTTTATAAACCTGGCTTTTTTAGCTTGATAACAATTTACATCTGTAACGGGATTACACGGCGGCTATTGACCCAGTTATGTTGTGTGTCCACACGAAGTAAAGATCGGTAGGTCTAAGTGGTACAGTCTTGGTACCACGTACATACGGTAATACCGCACCTTATATGTTAGGGAAGAGGGATAAGACTTCTGTCATATAATTGCAATGTAGAAGTCAGTCAGGCAAGGTTTTAGGGATTTATTACCATATTCAAAGAATAAATAAAGTTCAGTTCCCCTTTTAAATCGTTATGCGCTAGTGCCTAGTTAAGGCATAGCTTATTGTAAGAGTGTTAGCCTTGTCAAGGCGATTACTATTTGTTAAAGAGTGATGACTTGTAACGGAGTCACACTAGCCATTGGCTAAATTGGTCGAAGACCTCCCATATGTGATATGGGAGACAAGTGTGGTCTTGGATCTAAGTTTCATAGAGAATACCGATTAGTCGGTATTATCTGAGCTACGGTAATTACCGTGGAAGTAGTATGTACCGTCATCATTTGATGACTGAGTGATGTGCCAACCATTTATTTAGTTCAAATACTAATATTTAAATTAGTTCTAGTTTAGTAGAATGTAGGGTACTTAAAATAGGATTTTCCTTGATATAAAATCTGAATAAAACTCAGCTCTCACTTTGAGCAGAAGTCCGTAGACTTCCACCCTTTCGCACGTTGCGCCTGACAGTTCCGTAGAACTGTCGTGAGTTAAAGAGTCCTTAGACTCCAGTATCCATCTTTAGACATTGTGCGTGTATTTCCTTAGAACTACAGTAGTCTGAGATAATAACTTATAGGGTCCGCGCTAAGTTCCGTATAACTAGCCGACTCTTAAACTTGATATAATAGTTCCTTGATAATATTTTAATGCTAGCCGTAAGCCTCTGGCTTAACCCATAAGTCTTCCTCTGACTTTTGAGCTGTGGTAGCTCCGCTTCACTTGGTAGCACTTGTAGTCAATCCTACACCTGAGTCGTTTTCGACTGATCCTTTATACAGAGATGGAGAGTCTTGACTACCTCTCCGAGGCCCAGCGTCTCGCGTTCGGTAAGCTTAGAGCGCTAATTGGGGTCGAGCAGGTCGACCACATTGTGGCCCAAGGCCAAAAGTGCTCAATGCACGCTTCGATGCGTTCATGCAGGTTAAGGCCACGCTAATCGGGCAGATTTATGACCATTTAGACTCAGCTGTACCTACACGGCACATCCCGGTACCTGACAGTGCGCCTAAGGCTTGCCCGCTCTATCGTAGCGATAAGATTTTCGACGGAAAAGAGAGGGGGAACTCTCCTTCCCTAGATCCGAGAAGTCGATATGGCTATTAATGTTGCGATGCTCCAATCTGAACAACAGGAAATTAGCTTAGCTATTTCAAAACTAGACGGTAGAGCCAAAAAATGGGCTCTAACATGTAATGCGTCGGTAGACGCTGCGTTTTTCATATGGGATTCGCTTAAACGAGTGATGTCTCGGGTCCTCGAACCACTGTAACGGGGTGAACCGTTACAAAACAATTTACAAGAAATTGTTAATAGAATATAACTATAAGAGTTATATTCTCAGAATATTGTCACAAGGACAAATATTCTGTAGCACTTACGAGTAGTTCCTAATTGGTTGATATAGGCCATAATATCAACCAACGAAGACGCGCCACGACAGACGCACGCAATGAGTGGTGAGCAGATAATCAATTTACACATTTGTATTTAGACATAGTTAGATGAAGATAAATAGTGATTTATTAACAGACATTAACTATACTAAATACAGTTCTACTTTTTACTCTAACCAAGTACTCGCTTCTTCTTACCGTCTTCCTCTGCACTTACCAGTGTACGTGAAGTTACGAGGCACCGCCTTATTCTGTCATCGGAATAAGTAGCTTGTACTGTCACCAGTACAAGCTTCAGGGTGCCCGTTACAACTTGCGTCGACCCGAAACCTTGAAGATTGACATCTCCAAGTATAGGGGAGTGGAAGAGGACTCCCTCTTGAGATGGTCCGTCGAATTGGATGACGCCATAAGGGCGCGTCGCATCGACGACGGGGATATGCAAGTTGCATTTGCCCAGTCAAATCTGGCAGGACATGCCAAGACTTGGGCACTGGGGCTCAAGTTGCACGACCTATATGCGTTTGGGTCGTTGGAAGTCTTCAAGTCGCGGCTCAGACAAACGTTTGAACCGCCTAGAGCTGAGTTCAGGGCTCGAACCGAACTCTTGAAGCTCAAACAGGGTAAGCGTGATGTGCACGCTTACGCACAACATGTACGACATCTCACGAGTTGTATAAGTTCCAATCCGGTGGATGAACACACGTTGGTTTCGGTGTTCATGCAGGGTCTTGAGGATGGTCCCGCCAAGACTCACCTCTTCCGACTTTACCTAGATTCACTAGAACAAGCCATTTACATTGCGGAGCAGGAAGACGTCAGTCTGAGACAGGCTCGCGCCAGCTCGACATCATATCGTCAACCGAGACGATATGACACGGAGGTCCAGAGCCGATGGAACTCTGTTATGTAGAGAGCGAGAAGGCTCGCTCTACAGACTACAAGAAGTTGCAGAGATGCAACAGATGTCAAAAGACAGGACACTACGCTTACGAGTGTAGTGCCCCTCGTCCAGTGTCTCGCAACACTGGGCGTAGTTACCGTCCACCCATGAGAAAGAGGCAGGGACACGGGTCCGCCGTTGGTGCAAAAACGCAACAACGGGATGGACCGTCAAAAATGGACAGGATCAGTAGGTGCGGAGCACCCTACTGGTCCAGCAACGTCAAGAGAATTTGTAGGCCTCTTGATGAAGGTTGCTCCCAACACACAAACGCTGTGCGTTGCTGCTCTAGGTAATGAGATCTCACTCATTACCTTGAAACTCGAAGTGACGAATAAGTTGTCCCTTCGAGCTCTAGTTGATTGTGGGGCGTCCAACAATTTTGTGCGACGCCAATCGCTGGAAGATGGTCACTTAAGGTTTGTTGAGTGTGACACACCTTCTATGAGGATGACGGTACGTCTTGCGAAAGGCGCATCCGTAACCGTCATGAAGCGTATAGCGAAGATTCACTATACGCTAGAAGATACTCAATGTGACGATGACTTTATCGTATTTGGATTTGGATGACAAATTTGATGTCATCCTTAGATTACCGTGGCTCAGAAGGTACGAACCACGGGTAAACTGGCAACATCGGACAGTAACGATGCCTGCCGCTTGTTCATCAGATGGCCATCTGATGAACGTTTTGGAGCGTCCACAAGCGTGTGGATGTACTACGAGTGAGTGCGATGACCTCACTTGTGGTACGGTCGTTAGTACGACTGCACGAAACCTTAGTGTACCAAACGGTTACACTTCGGAGCAAAGTTCCGACGGCTGTGAGGAAACACAGGCTGCGCCGAAGGTCCACCACTCGAATAAGTCGTGTGGACCGGGACAAAGATGTATCCCTAGCGGGGAACATCTAGAAGAGAAACAATCGATCGCTCAGGTTAAGCGAAACGATAATCCTAGATCGACTGGAGAGTCTTTCGTAGAGGATCTCGCTGTGGTTGCGCAACCCCAGCTAGAGGAAGTAATGGGATTAAGTCCCAAGATTACAAACACGGCGGAAATAAGTTCCCCGAAACCCGCGGGAATAAGTCCCCGGGAAGCCGAAGGAATAAGTCCTTCGAGGCCTGAGGGAATAAGTCCCCAGGAAATGACAGAGACATTGAATGTCCTAGTCAATGACGGATCAAGCGTAGGCGCTTATACACTTGATATGATTGCGCCTCCGAAGTTGACTTCGGAGATCACTCAGTTGCCAACGCTCGAACATAAAAGGTTCTTGCGTGATCTGCGTAGTGGCAAAGTCAAGCAGATCTGCGTACTCGTCGCTGACGACGAGTGTGTAACCGACATAAGGTCAGCAACAGTGTTTACTGAGAACGAGAGAGTTCTCAGTAGTTCATCTATGGACGAGAGTGTCCTAGATGAAAAGACACGAATTGAGCGATATGACTCCCAATCGTGGGAATCGCTCAAGAAAAATCCTCTCTATGAAGATTTGGTTGAATTCAAGGATGTATTCCCTGAAACTGTTCCGTGCGAATTACTGAAGGATAAAGGTACTCGACACGAGGTCGAGCTTAAACCAGGCTCGAAGTACTGTGTCATGAAGCAGTGACCACTGCCTCGTGAACAAGTACTTGCGATCGACAAGTTCTTTGCCGATCATTAAGCTGCGGGTCATGTGAGGGAATCAACATCCCCACATGTCTCTCCGACCTTCTGTGTGCGAAAAGCAACAGGAGGGTGGCGGATAGTGCATGCATTTAACAAGTTGAATGCTGCAACGGTACCGGCTCAGACGCCGATACCGAGGAAGGACGTAATCATTGATGGTATGTCAAAGAGTACCATCTTTTCGTCCATGGATTTGATGGATGGCTTCTATCAAATCCTTTTGCGGGAACGGGATATACCCTATACCGCAGTGAGCACGCCTAGCGGCATGCTCTGGGAATGGCTAGTAATGCCACAAGGGCTTAGTAATGCCCCTGCCACGTTCAACAGATGTGATACACATCTGTTGAGACCAGTACGAGAATTCGCGCCGAGTTATTTCGATGACGTATTCATCCATAGTCGAGCTATGGATGGAAAGTCGGACGTTGAGGTTCACAGGTACCACGTCCGACAGGTTCTTACAATCATGCGAAAGCATCAATTGTATGCAAACCTCAAGAAGTGCATATTTGCAGCAAGCGAAATACCACTTCTTGGGTGCATCGTTGGTAAGAACGGTGTACGTCCTGATCCCGAAAAGATCAAGGCGATCACCGACTGGCCTGTGCCGGTTGATGTCAAATGTCTTCAAATATTCCTTGGTATAGCGGCTTGTTTGCATAAGTATTCACGCAATTACGCCGAGATGACTGTGCACCTCTCTCGTTTGTTGAAAAAGAACGAGAGGTGGTTATGGAACGCTGAATGTCAGCGCTCCTTTGATGGTGTCAAGCAGAGCTTGATACAATCCCCAGTCCTAGCAATAGCCGATCAAGACAGGCCATTTCATGTGGTCTGTGATGCCAGCGATTTCGCAATCGGCTGTGCATTAATGCAGTACGACCTAGAAGGCGTTGAACGCGTCGTCTGCTATCAGTCGCGTCAGCTGCAACCAGCTGAGCGGAACTATCCAGTGCATGACAAGGAACTCCTTGCCATGAAGTATGCACTCGCGAAGTTCAGAGTCTATCTATTAAGAGATAGACCCTTCATTGTTTACACTGACCATGCGTCCTTACGCACGGCAGTGAACAGCCCGCACCTTTCACAACGAATGGCGCGGTGGTTGTCATTCTTTGCAGAATACAACTTTACGGTCGAGTACAAACCAGGACGACTTAATGTCGTCGCTGATGCACTCTCACGTCGTCCCGACTTTGAAACAGTCGCGAAACCCAACAGTGAGACAGTCACTGTTGCGGTTATGACGTCCTCAGTTCCATCTACAACGTTGTATGATGATGTGAGGCGGGCATACGCCCAAGATGGTGAGATAGTGAAGTTGTTGTCACATCTCTCCCAACCATCTCGAGAATCGTTGAAACGATTGTCGCCTGCGTATCGATCTGCATCAGATCGATATACTACTCGTAACGGTTTACTGTATTATATAGCCGTTACTGGTGACACACAACGTGTTGTCATCCCAGATGATACTGATCTGCGTTTGCGGATCATGTTCGAGTATCACGATGATCCGATAGAAGGACATCGTGGCCGGGAGAAAACATATCTCACGGTGAGCCGGGACTTTTACTGGCCCCGCCAGTATCAGTTTGTGTGAAAGTATGTCCGCGCATGCGAAGTCTGTCAACGAGTGAAGTCAAGTCCTTCACTGCGTGCACCTTTACAGCCTCTACCGGTTCCGGCTGAGTGCTGGGAATCCATCTCAATGGATTTCGTCTTCGGGTTACCCAAAGACGCACGCGGGAATACGGGTATTCTCGTATTTGTTGACAGATTCAGCAAAATGGTACACCTTGTGGCTGTACCAGAGTCAATCACGGCAAGTGGCTGTTCTTGTGTCTTTATTGACACCATCTTCCGACTTCATGGTTTACCCCGTGAACTCGTATCAGACAGAGATCCACGATTCACAGCCGATTTCTGGCGGTCCGTGTTCAAATCACTCGGAACGCGCTTGAAGATGTCGACATCTGATCATCCAGAGTCAGATGGTCAGACGGAACGTGCCAATCGTGTCCTCGAAGAGATACTTCGAGGATACGTACACTCCTTTAAGAGTTGGAGTGAGTTTTTGCCAATGGTAGAGTTTGCCATTAACAACTCGGTGCATGCGTCCACGACACATACACCGTTCTACGTGAATGGCTTACGCCATCCGCGTGTACCCACCTTACTAGAGTGTAACTCTGGTTTAAGGGGGAGAGACTCGCGCGAGCAAAAACCGATTTGGTTCACGCTCATCACGCTCTGACGAAGAGGTCATTGCGTTTGATGCCGATATCGATAACATCGATATCGAAGAAGATGATGCCAGTGAGAGTGCGGAAGCCCTCACTGAAGAAGATGATGCCAGTGAGAGTGCGGAAGCTTTCACTGAAGAAAAGGTTGATGTTGCTGCAGTGCGCTCACAGCGCACTGAAGCTAACGAGTCATCAGATGAGTTCATACTGGCTCGTGAAACGGTAGTCCGTTTTGTGCAAGACTCCATCGCCGAAGCGGTGGATAAGCAAAAGCAAAACGCTGACAAGAATGGAAGGGCAAACACCCTTTTATTTTATAAAGGTGACTTAGTCCTACTGTCTACGGTTAATCTACCAAAGCATGTAGTGACTAACTTGGGTAGTAGTAAACTTCTACCCAAGTACATCGGCCCATTTCGTGTATTGCACCGCCTAGGCAATGCATACACGATCGAGTTACCACGTAAGATGCGAACGCATCCCACGTTTTACGTTGGTCGGCTTAAGCCGTACCATCAGTACGCTGCTTCTTCCGATGAAGAACGCCCTTGCGCTCAAGCATCTCGCAGAGAGCCTTGTGCTCCCGATGATGGGCATCAACAAGGGTCTGAAGAGCAGCTACCTCATCCCGAGACCGATCAACAATCTCACGAGCTACCCTTAGCTCGTCACGAAGAGATGTCAGAGATCTCTCGTTATCAAGCTGAGCAAAGGCAAACTCAGCTCGATGCTTCGAGGCAGTGTCCACCATCTGGAGACGCCTATTCCGCTCATGTTCGAGATCGTCGCGTAACCCTTGCGTTACGCGATCAAAAAAGCTCTCGGGAACACACCGATCCACATGATCGTGTGGAGAGCGTCTTTCCTCCTCCTCCACCTCCATTAGAGGACTCTCGCGGTGGCCAGCGCTATCTAGTTGAGCAGCTGTTGAGCCACCGCGACGTGAACGGACGTCGGACGAGTTATCTCGTCCGGTGGCGCGGCTATCCCCCCGTCCTGGGATTCTTGGGAGCCCCGCTCCCAACTGATGATCGACGTACTGGGTCTGGTTGAGCAGTACGACGCGGCACATCCTGTGCCGCAGAAGGACCGCCGGAGAAAGTCTTCCCGGCACGGTCGTAAAGGGATTTCAGGTTGTCAATCCCTTCGTACATCTCACTAGAGATACGTACGCGCCACCACGGGCTGGTAAGGAGGTAAGCCTCCTTAGGTGCTCGTGCAGAGGTGTTCACACAACACGGGCACGAGTCTCCCCAAGAGAGGGCAGGGTAATCCTTTCTCCCTTGACAGACGATGCAGCTTGTAGCGTGCACCTGTCGGGGTTCGCTTTTCAAACTTATCACGAGCTTTGATAAGTTTGTCGTTCCAAGCGTCACGACCTACATCCTCAAGGTTACGGATGTAGGCGTTCCACGCCTGAAGCAGTGAGGGACCATCACGCTTGTGATTCCCACTGTACCATCGATGTCTAAAGAAAGCATCGATGAAGAATTCGTTTTCAGCGCGATAGTTTTTCGCACTGGGGTCAAGGTGATGGATCCTTGACGAATCGAACAACCGTGTTCGATAACGATCACTCGTCGTCGCCGACAAGTGATCCATGACAAATTTCGGAGGCATACATGCCTTCTTCTCAGGAGCGAGACGCAAGACATTGCGATCCCGCTCTTCCTGCGATGTGCCGACAGAAGTACTGGCACCTCGTTGCGAAGTGGTGTCCATAGGAGAACCGACACCACTGTGAGCGCCCGAGTCTCGCGACCTCGAGCGCCTACGCTTCGGCGATGGTTCATCTGATTCATCAGATGAACCAAAGATGCTACGACGCAAAGCATCGTCTATGCCACGCTTGGCAGGCGGCTTGGATTCAATCGCCGTCGATACGGATCCGTCTTCCGTATCAGGGGAGTACGAGACACCGAGCTCGTACTCTGTGACGACATGAGTGTCTTCATGACCAGCGCCTGCATCACCAAGTGACACAGGCTGGGTCGCTTCAGCAACCGATGAGACATCAGTTGCTGTGGTTTCTGCTTCGGCGTCCGCACAGAGACGTGCGGACGCGCTCTCGGAGGCCTTGCTCGCGCACTGCATGGGCTTGTTAACCATGCGATGAAACTTATGGACTGTGGACTCGGATTAACAAGTGCAAACCCTGTCCCAAATGATTTGGGACGAGTATCCATTTAGTCAATCAGTCACTAAAGTGACTGATGGTTAAGGGGGGTGATGTAACGGGGTGAATCGTTACATAACAATTTACAAGAAATTGTTAATAGAATATAACTATAAGAGTTATATTCTCAGAATATTGTCACAAGGAAAAATATTCTGTAGCACTTACGAGTAGTTCCTAATTGGTTGATATAGGCCATTATATCAACCAACGAAGACGCGCCACGACAGACGCACGCAATGAGTGGTGAGCAGATAATCAATTTACACATTTGTATTTAGACATAGTTAGATGAAGATAAATAGTGATTAATTGCAGACATTAACTATACTAAATACAGTTCTACTTTTTACTTTAACCAAGTACTCGCTTCTTCTTACCGTCTTCCTCTGCACGTACGAGTGTACGTGAAGTTACGAGGCACCGCCTTATTCTGTCATCAGAATAAGTAGCTTGTACTGTCACCAGTACAAGCTTCAGGGTGCCCTGTTACACCATGGATGCAGCATTGCCTGG